CTAGCTCCTGATATGAAAAGGCTAGCTAAAAATTAATCATTTTGAAGCTAACTACCCCTAATCTTCTTTCCCCCAATCCCATTTATATAAACAAACCTATATTCATATGCATACTCACAATTGTCACTGATTCTCACCTGGCATTTGGGCAACTAAGTAGATCTCAAGTCAAATTAGTCAATGAGAACTCTCTGACTTGGAGTTTTCATTTCTTAAGTTTATATTGACTGAGTAGTGTTGCTTTTTAAAACCTAACCTATGGCTGCATGTTTGAATTTTTTTTCTGTATTTTATAGTAAATTATGAAAATTCAACGTATCTTACTATTTTACAAGAAATAGTTAAGAATATTCATACACTGAACAAGCCATAATTTCAAGGCTGCTAAAAGAAGTATTCCATTCATATTGTATATTCAACTTTGAAATTTTTATAGCTAGACATTCTTCCTTCAATACCTTAAAATTTTCCTGTATTTTTAAGCATCCTCTACTTCTTTCATCTTATCTCACAGGAAAAAGTCCCTCTCCCAAGGTTAAGAACAACTTCACATATGGTCTTGAGTGTATCCTTGTCTGTCTTCACTTCACCTCACTGTTATCTTTACTCAACTCATCTCTTATAGGTTTTTTCCTTCTATCAGTATCTTGGACATTTGCTTGTTTTTCTATCTTAAAAACACACACAGACAGAAGTCTTTCTCTGGACCCTAATATTTCCTCCACTGCTCTGCTTTTTTCATGCATTTGTTAGACAAAAATGATTCTCATCCCTGTCTCCATTATCTCATTTATTCTCTTAATTTGCCATCTGATTTCCATCCCTGTCAAGTTACTAAAACTGTTTCCAATCCATCAATTATATAAATCTCTGAAGACATTAACTCAGTCTCCATTCTCCTTGACTCTGAGCAGGAATTAACCTTGATGACTTTTTCAAAAAGTGATTTTAAATATCTTTGCTAAACTCTTTCCTCTTTGGCTACTCTTTCTCTTTTGCTAGCTCCCCTCCTCCTCTCAGACCTAAGGGTAGTCCTCTGAACTGTTTTGACCCTTTTCCTAATGATATTTTTTTCTGAATTCCCTTTACATATTTTATCCTTGTAGTATTTGATTTACTACAGCTTTCGCTTTTAAAAAAATTCCCTATTTTATTATTTATCCTATTGGAATTCCCATTTACTTCCATAAAAACCTATTCCTTGAACTCTTCCTTCTTTCATCTACACTGCTTTCTCTCTAGACATGCTGCACAGCCCCTTTTGGGCATGTCGGTTTGCCGCTAAGATTTGCATACCTTTTCCAGAATTACATGTTCTCCTCTTAGTTTTCAGCCTTATTTTTCTGAACTATTTCGCAGAGTTTCTGGCCTTATTTTGCTGGAGTGAAGATCACACGGGAGGAAAATCTTCTGCAGTTCCAATTTGATGGTCTAAAAATCTTTATTTTGCTCTTACAGTTAATTGCTAATTTGAATAAATATATTCAAGAGTGAACGATATCTACCATTAAGACTTTGAAAATATTCTGTCATTGTCTTCTAGGATCCAATGCTGTTAGGTCTAATTTTTTTTTTTTTTTTTTTTTTTAAAGGGGGGGGGGGGGGTGGGGGGGGGAGAGGGAAAGGGAGAATTTCAAGCAGGCTCCATATCCACAGAGGAGCCCATTGAGGGGTTCGATCACGTGACCCTGAGATCATGACCCCAGTCAAAATCAAGAGTTGGAAGCTTAACTAACTGAGCCGCCCAGGTGTCCCAATAGGTTTGATTTTAATTCTTTTGTTGACAACATGTCTTTTATGTTTATAAACTTTAGGGATTTATTATATTATTATTACTGACTAGTATTCCTAGTTTTAATTCTTTTTTTAAAAGATTTTATTTATTTGAGAGAGAGAGAGAATGAGAGAGAGCGAGCAAGCGAGCGAGCATGAGAAGGGGGAGGGTCAGAGGAAGAAGCAGACTCCCGGTGGAGCAGGGAGCCCGATGCCGGACTCCAAGATTATGACCTGAGCCAAAGGCAGTGCTTAACCAACTGAGCCACCCAGGTGCCCCCCCTAGTTTTTATTCCTGGTATTATATGATAATATCTCCAAGTGTGAATCTTTTTCCTTCTATGTTCTGATACCCTATTTTTTTCTACTCAATCTGAAAACTTATTTCTCTCTACATTCTAAAAAAACCTCTTATAATTAAAATTTTTTTCTCACTTTTTTTTCTAAATCTCTTTCTTTTCTAATGGTTGAATGTTAGTCCATTGGATTGGCTCTCCGTGACTCTTCATCTTTTCTCATATTTTCTGTTTATGTCTTTGTATGCTATGTTCTAGATTTCTTTGATTTTATCTCTGGTACTTCCCTTGAATTTCTCATTTAAGGAACATGTTTTCAGTGTCTCTGAACTGTATCATTCTATGGTTGCTCCTTTTTCAGAGTACCTTGTTTATTGCTTATAGATAAAATATATTCTGAATACTTACGTTTATAAATTGAAGTGTTTTTAAAAAATGTCCCCTTTTATTTTATGAAATATATCTGTTTCCTTTAGAGTTTGTTTTTCTGTTTTCCTTTCTCTCTCTTTCATAACGGTGATTTCCTGATTTGTTTGTTTATTCTTTATTGTACGTTTCTAAACACATACACATACAATATAACAAATATTTATCTAAATATATATTATATTATATGTTATATAAAATTTACTTATATTTGCTACTTATGTAATAGATAAATACACATATAAAATGCATATAAATATTCAGCAAAATATATAAAATATATATTTAATATGTTTAAAGTATTTAAGTACATTAAATAAAAAAATTAAAAAATTAAATATATATGTATATATAAACTGGTAATTGATTTGTTTGCTTTTAAGGTTTTATTTATACAGGGGTGCCTGGGTGGCACTCTCAAGTGAGAGAGCCCACAAGCAGGGGGAGAGGGAGAAGCAGGGAAAGAGGAAGAAGCTGGGAGCCCAATGAGGATCTCACTCCCAGGACCCTGGGGTCATGACCTGATCTGAAGGCAGACACTTAAGCAACTGAGCCATCCAGGTGCCCTTCCTTTGCTTTTAGTAAGCAGGATGTCTTCCAGGTTTCTCTCCTACGTACTAATTGTGAACAAGTGCCTGGGTTTGATAGGGTAGGACTAGGAATACTAAATATCAGGTTTTACTTTAGATGATAAGGCAAGTAACTAGCTCTCAGGATGCTGGTCCTGAGTACCACAATGAGAATGGTATTACTCTGTGTTGTCAACATAAAAGCTTTCATTTCCTCTCTACTATTTACACAATTCATTTCAAGACTTTTGGGGTCTTTTTTGTTTCTTTGTTTGGTGGCAGGTGTCTTTGTCAGCTCTCATTATGTACAATGAAGAAGGAAATGTGTGTGGTGCCTGAGTCAAGTGTACCATATTTAGAATGTCAACCTCATTGTCATCCCTTATTCTTATTTCTGCTCTCTGCCATGCCTCAACCAACTCTTTTGTAGCTTCTTCACTGTATTTTTTGGCAATGGTTTTAGGTGTTATTCCTAGTCAAATCTCTACCATTAGCCTTGTTTCCCAGGAAACTGTTAAAGTCTCATTTACTTTTCTCTTCTCCACTGATCATTCTCCTCTCCACATAAGTACATGCACCAAACACACACTATCTTCTTTTTTATTTATTCCTCAGCTTTCCTACTTCTAAATTTTTATTTCAGCACTTATAGGAAAGAACATTAGGCAAATTATATGCCAAGTCTACCATCTTGAACTGTAAGCCAAGAATAACTCTCTATAGAACTTATAAGCATATATTTGCCATTTGGATAAAACTTATTGCAGAACCCCCCCTTGCTGACTATCCCTTGGTCACATGACCACTTCTACAAAATTCTTATTCAAAAGGAAATAGAATTACTTCCAGGGTAACAGGAAGAGCTCACATTTCTTTAGTTGTTTGATGACCTAACAAATTCATTTTATTAAGGAAGAGGAGAAAAATGGTGACTGTGTAGACAACCAACAGCATCTGCCATCATAATTTTTTTTCCGTATCATCATCATTTATTAAAAAGACTAGGGAAACTCATTTTAGAATTGAGTTTTTTATTAATCAGCATCCCCCAGAGGTTAAGTGTCAGTTCCAGGAAAAGAAATGCACTGGGGTCCAGCAGAGATGTAATTTTAAGACCCAATGTTAATTTTAAGTTGAGGTATGCAAAAAGGAGGGGGAACCTATGGACTGAGAATAGGTAAAACCAAAAATATCCAGAAGCCAAGGCTGTGGGACACTGGTGAGCTGAACAGACCTAGTGGACACACATACTGAGATACTAAGGGACTCACGGGCTAGACATGAGTCTGGAGCTTATCAATCCATTCTGACAACTCATGAGGTGATAAGGGTGAGAGTGAAAGGCTAACATGCTAAGAAAGATTGAACATAGAGATGAAAAGAACCAAAAAACATGGATGACTTTGTTGAGCCCATGAAAAATATGCTGGAAACATCTTCACCTTGAGATTTTGTTTTTGAGGCAATTTTAAGAAAATTAAGGCACTATTAGTCAAATGATCTAGTTACATACACACACATATATAATTTTACATATAAGGGTTCACGTTGTGTATGCATTATTTTCCAAACTATTTACTCAATTGTACTCCTTGATAAATTTCCATATCAAACAATACAGAGTCATGTCATACTTTTAAATGCCTATAAAGTATTCCACTTTAGAGATGGGCTGTACAATAATCCCCTGTCTGTGCGAGATACTTCCAAGACTGCCCCAGTGGATGCCTGAAACCAATGCTAGTACCAAACCTTGTATATACTATGTTTTTTCCTACACATACATACTTATGTTAAAGTTCAGTTTATAAATTAGGTGCAGTAAGAGATTAACAACAATGACCAATAATAGAATAACTACAACAATATAATGTAATAAAAGTTATGTGAATGTGGTCTTTTTCTCTCTCTAAATATCTTATTGTGGTGTACTCACCCTTCTTCTTTTGATGTGAGAGGATAAAATGCCTAGTGATGAGATGAAGTGAAGTGAATGACACAGGCATTGTGACATAGCATTAGGCCACTATTGTCCCTTTGATGATATATTAGAAGGATCATCTGCTTCCTGATTGTGGTTGACCTCAGGTAACTGAAACAACAGAAAGGGAAACCTTGGACCAGGGCAAAACTACCATAATCAATTTAAATCTATCCCCCACTGTTTGTGGAATAACACATTTTTAAAAAATACTTTATTCATTTATGTGACAGAGAGAGATCACAAGTAGGCAGAGAGGCAGGCACAGGGAGAGGCGGGGGGCGGGGCGTGGGGGAGGAGGAGGCTCCCCGCTGAGCAGAGAGCCTGATGCGGGGCTTGATCCCTGGGCCCCAAGATCATGACCCCAGCCAAAGGCAGAGGCTTAACCCACTGAGCCAACCAGGTGCCCCTAGAATAATACATTTTTAAGTATGAGTTTTAGTTGGTTGCCCAACCACCCATTAATTTCAACCCACCCTACTCAATATATTTTTTTAAAAGATTGTATTTATTTGTCAGAGAGAGAGTGTGCACAAGCAGGGGGTAGCAGCACGCAGAGGCACTAGCAGGCTCCCTGCTGAGCAAGGAGCCTGATGCAGGACTCAATCCCTGGACCCTGGTATCATGACCTGAACTGAAGATCATCAGTTCCCTTAACTGACTGAGTCACAGTAGGCATCCCCACCCTACTCAATATTGACAAGAGATTCATACAATCCCATTTTCTTTTCTTTTTTTTTTTAAGTTTATTTATTTGAGAGAGCGAGAAAGGGAGCATGAGAGGGGAGAAGCTAAGAGGGAGAAGCAGACTCCCCGAGGAGCTGGGAGCCTGATTCGGGACTTGATCCTGATCCTGGGACTCCGGGATTATGAGCCAAAGACAGTCACTTAAACAACTGAGCCACCCAGGCACCCACAATCCCATTTTGTAACTGCCAGATCCTAATTGCCTACAGTATTAAATTTCCTTTTTTTTTTTTTTAAGATTTTATTTATTTATTTGACAGAGAGAGATCACAAGCAGGCAGAGAGGCAGGCAGAGAGAGAGGAGGAAGCAGGCGAGCAGAGAGCCCGATGCGGGGCTCGATCCCAGGACCCTGAGATCATGACCCAAGCCGAAAGCAGCGGCTTAACCCACTGAGCCACCCAGGCGCCCCCAGTATTAAATTTCTTAAATTAAAAAGTGAGTCTTCTTATAGATTAGTTTCTGATTTTAACTTTATTGTCACTGCCTTCCAATAAGCACCTTCTATTATAAACCAATGGGTTACTCATTATCATAGAGTGCATCTGTAATCTTGTTACCTTGTCTTTGCTCATGACACACTTTCTAGACAGTCTTCTATCTCTTCATTAGGAATCCTGTCATCAGACTCTTTCCACTGACATTTTGGAAAACCCTCCAGGGATTACAAAGAGGACAAAGATAGTTTTCAGAGCTCAGTGAAGTGTACTTCCCTCTAGGTCAGAACTGCTTAATAGAAATAAGATGCAAGCCACCTATGTAATTTAAAATTTCCTAGAAGCCTCATTAAAAAAAAAAAAACAGGTAAAATTACTTTTAATATACTGACCCTATATCAAATGTTAATATTTCAATATGTACTCAATATAAAAATTAAGATATTTTACTTTTTTTGTACTAAATTTCAAAATCTGGTATATATTTTGCACTTGCTGCATGTTTCCATTTTCCGCTACATTTCAAGGGTAAAGAGCCGCATTTGGTTAGTTCTAGGGCAGTTCTAGGCAGGGTCCATTTTCAATCTCCTCCTTCTCCCTTAACTGTTGGGAACTGTGATAAGAAAAGAACAATCTGCCACATGAATTTCTAGCATTTATTGTTAGTAACTCTCATTATCATGTGGCTTCCTCTCATTCCTTACCTTTTGATGCATTTGTCTTGTCTCATAAGTTAACCTCTAAATTCTTTTAAGTCTGGGACCATGGGCTGATCCAATCTGAAAGTTGGGAATGACTTTAAAAAACCATGAGCTAATTCTTTTCATATATGGCTCCCTTGCACCTCCTACCTATGAAATAAGCCTTCAGAATCTAATTAAGGTCAAATCCAGTAGTTGAGGCCCCCACATATCCTAAGGCAGACAACTTCTCTGACTACTTCTAGAAAGATCTTTTTCAGGACATGAAACCCGTTTCTCTCAAGTCTGCATCTCTTGAGACCAAATGAAAGGAATCTAGTATCACATGACTAGTGTTTATTCGATGTTCCTGTAGCTTTCTCTGTTCTCTGAGAATCCTCCCCAGTTCAATCAGTACTTTTTTAATGTGTTACATTTTGGGGTTCTCATCATCATCTGCTCTCCTGTGAAATAATTCCAGCTTCTGAATTTGCTTTTTTTTTTTTTTTAAGTGCTCAATCTAGATTGAACACAGAACTCCAATTATGGTTTGGCCAGTGAAGAGTATTAACCGGATCACTGTTGACTGCCTTTCTATAAAACACAGTTCCATTAGGCATCAAGACACATTCCTTATGAGAAACGGAGGTGGAAGAGGGGGAAGCTGGGACACATTAAGTCAGGCCGTCATGCCCGACATTTGGTCTGGAACTGTATACACATACCCAGACAGTTCTTGAGGTTAGTTAATTTTTCTTAATGTCGTCAGTCTTTCCAAATGAGCCAGGGAATCTTAAAGACATTTTGTTCGTGGTGGCGGCCGTCCGACCAAAGGACCAGATAGCAGAGATAACTTTAAGATAACTGAGAATTGAGAAAGCTTAAGGAAAGCGTACCAGAGACTAGAGAACCGCGTATAGTGTCCCATAACCGGGAGCTCGTGGCTGGTGACGCAGATCGCAATTACCCGGTTCTTCAGACTTCATACTTACTGCTCTTCTCTCCTTTGTAGGAATTATTACTTCTTTGTCTCCATCTTAGGGAAAAGAATAGGAAAAAAGATGCAGTCAACTCCAGTAATTGCGAGGAAAATTCTCTGGCAGCGAGCTAGAAGCAGCACGCCTGAACCCGCAGGGACACCCACCTGACCGCGGAGCCCCAGGAACGCGCGTGTCCGCGCCCGTGCCCGTGCCCGTTTGGGGACGCGCTCTCGGCGCCAGCCCGGCCCCCTCCGCAGCTCAGCTCCGCGGGCGGGAGGCGAGCCGGAGGCGAGCAGGGGGCGGGCGGCGCGCGCGCGGACGGGGTGGGGCCCGGGGGAGCTGACGTGCCGACGTTGGCGCCGCTGCGGTCGGGTGACGTGTAGGCCCGCGCCTGCTCCGCCCCCTCCCTCCTAGCCGGGTTTGTAGGTCTGTGTGGTGGTCGAGGCGCTGTACTCTGTGACTTGGAGCGACCCCGGCGAGCTCCGGGTGGGGTGCGGAGGAAGGCACAGCGGTGCAGCCGCCCACTGGCATCTTCGGCTCTGCCCTCCGTTCTCTACCCGGCGTGGGAAGTAAAAATGAAAACGAAAGGGAGGGAGACTCGAAGGTAGAAGCTGACCGAGTGATGGGATGCGCGTGAGCTGGTGCGGAGAGGTGAGGAGGTGGAGGTGGGAGAAGGAGGAGGGGCGCCGCGGCCACGGGTAGATGGCGGGGCAGGAAGTTCGGGGTGGGCTACGCGACCCGACAGCCCCTTCGGGACTAGGTGGCAAGCCAAGAGCTGTCATCCCTCTCGGGGCCTGAAGTCGTGTCTGTGGTCTCCGACAGTCTGGTCCCACTCTTGGAATCTGTAGGTGCGAGTAGTGATCAGAAAAATCGCCCCAAGCCAGATATTGGCCAGGTATTGGGCCACAACGTGGTGACCAGATAGGGTGATTTTTCTTTCCTGTGTGAGGGTAATTTGCTTTCTTTAGGTTTCGTTTGTTTTGTTAAAAGCCGCGGTAACTTCTTCGTTTTCTTCACACAGATTTTGGGAGAAAAGCCTCCTTTATATCTTTTTTACCCCCACACTGAAAAGTAAATAGTCTGGTTAGGGAGTTGGTCATGGTGAATTGTGGGTGAATTTAGCAATCGCCGAGTCTAGAATGTCATATTGAAGTAAGTAGATGTGTGCGCGTTTGAGGCAGGTGTTGTGGGTATGGGGGCAGTTGTATTAAATAGCCTTTATATCATAAGTTTATTTATTTATTGAATGCAGTGTGTTTGTGTATTTTGCTCTTCTTTGGTTTAAAAGAAGCATAATTTTAGCGTTAGCTAAAAGTTTGATATGAATGGTATCACATGTACACTCAAGCTAGTAAAAATATTTTCTTTCTCTAAGTAAGATTGGATTGAATAGCCGGTATCTTCATCACTAGATTTCATGTTTCATGGATGAATTTTTTTCTCATTTTCAGAGTGTTGTGAAAAGTTAAGAATTCAGCTTTTGATTCTAATCTGGATTGAGGTTCTGTGCATGTATTTTTTATTTGAGATGATATTATAATAGTAGTCTCGCATGAGAAAAATGCTCCTTAGAGATGCCAATTAAGTTAGGCTAAATGATCTTATTTGGATGAATAATTTTTCATGGTTTAGCCTTCTTGATCCCTGCTGAACAGTTTTCTTTTATCATTTCATTCATTCATATCTTCATCTGTGTCAGGCACTGTGCTAGGCCTGGAAAATCAAGAGAGATACAGTGTCTGTGCTTATGCAACTTTCTATAGTCCACCCTTTTAACAGAGAATCTTAACTAAGGTTCCTCTTCATGTCGTGGATCTCTAGTGGACCAAAGTGAAGCTTTTCATGAGAGTAAGTTATTGTCAATATTAATATGTAATGGGCCCCTAAAAAGGAACAGATTATTTTTCTTGAACAGCATGACTTGATTTTGCCTTTGATCAAAATCATACGTGCCAATGTTTTGCCAGTTAAGAATAATTTTTTTTTTTAAGATTTATTTGAGAGAGAGAGGGAGAGGGAGCTCAAGTGGGGGGAGGGGTATTGGGAGAAGAAGAGAGAGAATCTCAAGCACACTCTCCACTGAGTGGGGAGCCCAATGCGGGGCTCTGTCTCAATACCCTGAGATCATGACTTGAGCCAAAATTAAGAGTCGGCCGCTTAACTGACTGAGCCACCCAGGAGCCCCCAGAATAATTTTTGTTCTTTCTGTAAAGTTGGCTTAAATACAAAGTTCACAATTGGAAATCAGTTACTATCTGAAAAAGACTTTATTTTTCCCATTTTTACATTGGTCTCATTGGATCTTCTATGTGTTAATAACTTGTAATTCACAAGAATTATATGCACAAAGCATATTCATCAGAAATATGTATGGTACTTATTGACAAGTAAATTTTTTGCCCCATAGAATCTTCTCTGGGGAGGTCGTTAGCATAAGCCCTTGCAGTGCAAAATATATCTTTATATAATGTGGCACAGTTTTCAACTCTGAGGAGATAACTACCTGAAGTTGAAATTTTAACAAACATTTATGGAAAGAAAAAGTGCATAATTACCAAGGAGGAAAAAATAAGGTATCTTAACGTATTTAGTAATTGTGAGAAGGTAGGCATTATATGTCTTTTTCCTACATTATACTATAAAGTTTTTTAAAGTAGTTACTGGGTCTTGTTTCTTACATCTTTTGCCTAGTATAATGCCTCCCTCATAGTAGACTATGTAAATGTCATTCATTTACCATATAGCATCTCATTTAAGTCCTCCATTTTGCATGTAGATGAGCAAGTATGTTTGAGAATGTTTGTGTTCAGTTTCATTTTCCTGCTATTAGCTATAATGATCTGCTTTACAGGTTGTCTTGTTTCTGAAACTCTGTTATTCAGGTTTAATGCAGTTTAATCCATCTTTGAATATTCTGATTTAATCAGATCATTCAACCTGAAAGGAGCATTTAAAAATCATCTTGAGGGGCACCTGGGTAGCTCAGTCAGCTAATAAGCTTCTGTCTTCAGCTCAGGTCATGGTTCCAGGGAGCTGGAATTGAGCCCCACATTGGGATCCCTGTTCAGTAGAGAGCCTGCTTCTCCCTCTCCCTCTGCCGCTCCCCCAGTTTGTATTCTCTCTCTCTTTCTCTCAAATAAATAAATAAATCTTAAAAAAATATATAATTTTGAAACTCCTCTTTATTTTATGGATCAGAAAGTTGATACCCGGAAAAGTTAGCTGATTTTTTATCATCAAACAAAAATGGACATCTGAATTCAGTTCTCATTCTTTTTATTTTACGTTCATACTATGTCATTTTGCCTCTCCTCGTTGTTACTTGAATAGACTCCTGGGGACCTTTGTAAATTAAGGTAGAATCTTATTTTATCTTTCTGGTTTTGGAGTTTGGGGCTTATCTTCCTCTAATTCTATGATCTGTTCTTCAAAGAGAATTGTTAGGAAATTCATTATCAAAGATTTGAACTGATAGGGAAAATAAGGTGGAATTTGGAAGACATACATAATTTTAAAGCTAGTAGCAGTAAGCATTCTCAGTATATGTTTTAATAAAATGATTGCTGAGAAATATTTATATTTGAAGGTGGGAAAGTTCACACCTACTTGTTTAATAATTAAACCAGAGGGGCACCTGGGTGGCTCAGTCGGTTAAAGCCTCTGCCTTAGGCTCAGGTCATGAGCCCAGGGTCCTGGTATCGAGCCCCACATCGGGCTCTCTGCTCGGCAGTGAGCCTGCTTCCCTTCTACTCCCTCTGCCTGCCTCTCTGCCTCCTTGTGATCTCTCTCTCTCTGTGTCAAATAAATAAATCAATAAAATCTTAAAAAAAAAATTAAACCGGAGATTTTTAAACGTACTGAATCAGAATTTCTACGGGTGGTGTCTAGAGATGTCTATTGTTCAAACAACTCCACTGTGATCCCAATGCAACCAGTTTATATTGGAGAACTTGTAACTAAACCATATGAATTCAGAAGCCTCTATTCTGGTCTATTAAAGCAGAGCTTCAAAAGGAGGGAATTATCTCAGGATTATGGAGTAGTCAGAGAGGAGGTTGGTCACGTTTCCCAGCATTTAGTTTTTATTTTTTTGAAGATTTATTTATTTTAGAAAGAGAGTGGATGTGGCGTAGGGGGTGGGGGGAATAGAGAAGGACAGAGGGAAAGGGAGAGAGAATCCCAAGTAGGCCTGGCCTTTATCTCAGGCCTCCATCTCAGGACCCTGAGATCATGACCTGAGCCAAAACCAAGAGTCAGACACTTTACTGACTGTGCCACCCAGTTGCCCCAGTTTCCCAGCATTTTTAAAGACTTGCTAGGTCATTTTGAAATTAAGTTAGTGACTAGAAAGTTACTCAGTTGTGTGTAGCTTGGAAGTATGGCGTGCAAATTTGATAAAGGAAAACATTCCATTCCAATAAAATTCTTATTAATGAGACAATTTTTTTCTTTATTTCTTTTCTTCTTTTTTTTCATTCTGGGATGGTTGATCTTGAGCCTGCAGGGAGAAGGCTGACCCCAGTCGTCTTCAAGTCAACATTTCTTTGCTTCCAATTCTTACATGTCCAAAGACAGAAAACCACATGGACATCCCTTTGTTGAAGGGTTCTATTTGTCTTTTTTTAGAAAAATTCTTTTACTTACTTTCTTGAAAGTCAATAAATGCCCAACAGGCTAATCAGATAAAACAATCTAAAAATGTTAAATTCTACTTTTAAACATCAATAGAAATAAATATACCTTCATCTTGATTTAAGAAACTTAATTATAAAACCTGACATATATGATTTATAAGAACTTAATATGAGGATGATACTCATTTTGTACAAATAATCTCAGTGCATTTTTTTCCCAGTGTGCATGTGTTTTCTAAAATAGACCTGACTTAAGCAGGACTTTTAACACCGGGGGACTCCTTAAACTGTTTTTATGAGCATTCTTTAAGGAGTGAAGGAAACTTTGCAAAATATTAGCACTGTCTGCACTCTGGGGGTGGGGAAACAAGGAATAGCCTAAAGATCACTTTTAGAAAGAGTCACAGATCATTGAACAAATATTTATTGAGTTTCTTGGTATAGCCAAGAACCATGCAAGTAGTACTAGGGAAAACCAAGACATACACTACTGCAGTCCTGAGGTGCTAGTCAAGATGCTGGCTTTGTGAGACTTTGAATTAACTTGAATCAAGGAAAAATACCCGTGAATGCAGCCTGCACAGTCTGAAGTAAGTAAAGTAGAGGCTTTGTCATTGATTTAAAAAGTGAAAAAGTTGGTATCCTAAGTTACTGATTTTGGCCATTAGCTTAGGGGAAAAAATAGTTATTAGGGAGTTTGAAAAATGATTGAACTCGTTTTTCAGAGCTCTTCTCTTTGTATTTATTGGATATAATAGAAATGCTAGTTAAGAAGTAACAGGTGAGTGGAATCTGTTCCTACATTCTTCTACTGTGGTTTTCCTTCTGAGCCCACTCCTACTCTAGGTTTTCTAGCAACTGTCAACTTTTACCATTGCTTTTTGTTTTCTATTATATTAGCCTGAAATTTAGAAAATACCCAAGTATTGACTTGAGGATTAAATTTCTGCATGTATAAGTTCTTGAGTTCTTTGAGAAGAGTGGCATCATGAGTTGAGAAAATCACGTTAGATTTTTCTTTTGTGTTTGGAAAACTTACTAGTTTGTAAAACATCTCCTTAAGTACTAAAATAAATTAATCAAGTTATTAAATTAACTTATGTGTTGGGGGGGTATTTTTGAGGTTTTGAAATGAAGATTATGTAAACATTAAAAAATACATATTTTATATATGTGTGTGTGTGTATCCAGACCTGTAAATACTGCCTCTTTTTTGTGGCCATTTGACCTCCTTTTTTCTTTTCAGTTGGTCTATCTGGCCAAAATACAAATACTTATTGAGAACCTACTAGGCCCAAAATACTGTTTTATTTTAGATAATGTGGATATTACAATGAACAAAGCAAAATTTTCACCCTCATCTGGCTCATATTCTATTAGATGAAACTGATAAAAAACACAGAAAACATGTCATGTGATAAGTGCCATGAAATAAAGTGAGTTGAATGCAAGAGAAGGATCAAGGAAGGGGGTGCTGTTCAGAGACGGCTTCTCTGGTAAAGAGACATTTGAGCAAAGACCTGAGGAAATGAAGGAACTACCTATGTGGCATGTTTGAGAAAAGTGTTCATATAGGGAGATCTGCTTGGTATAGTTATAGCACTAGAAGGAAGGGCAATATGGATGTCCCAATATGAGCAAGGAGGAGAGTTAGAGGAGATCAGATCAAAATGTAAGAGAAAGCCAAGTTCTTTAACCTTTTGAAGTTTACTCAGAGGTATGGGAAACCTTTAATGGTTTTTGAGCAGAGTAGAGCCACAAATGTTACCTGTTTGGGGGAAGAATTATTCTTGTTTGTGTGTGGAAACTAGATTGTTAGTAAGGATGAAAACAGGGAGACTAGATAGGCGATTCTAATAATCTAGGGAAGAAAGAGTGACAGAAGTGGTCAGATTCTGAATATATTTTGAAGCTAGAATTGGGAGAATTTGCTGATGAGTAAAGCATTAACTCCAAGTTTATTTTTGGCCTTAGCAATAGTCAGAATGGAGTTCTGATTCATTAAAGTGAAGTAGACCACAGGAGATTTGCAGTGGGAGATCAATTTTGATATTCTTAAGTTTGAGTTGACTATTAAACATGCAAGTGGAGATGTGAAAGAGGTAACGAGTATACAAATCTGGAATACAGGTGAGATGTGCAGCATGGAGATAAGAATTTGGAATTAGTGTATAACTGATACTTAAAGCATTGAGACTGAATGGGATCACCTAAGAAACAAGTGTAGCTAGAGAAGGGGTCTGAGATCTGATCTTGGTGCACAGCAATGCTTAAAGCATAGGAGGATGAGGAGGAATCAACAGGAGAAAAAAGTGGCAGTGTTGGAGAAAAAAATGAGATACTGGTGTCGTAGGTGCAAAGGGAAGCAACTTTATCTAGAAGGGCTAGGTCAAAAACTGACAGGAATTAAACAAGGACTGAGAAGTAACATTGAATTTGGCAATGCTGAGGTTATTTGTGACACTGATAGCTCTTTTGATGGAACAGTGGAGGTAAAAGCCTGATCGGAATGGAATTTTTATTGTAGAGAAGCTGAAAAGTAAGATGTTAATTGAAGAGGGCTGTGGAGTCAGTGGGGGTTTCTAAACATGGGAGCCCTTATACCATATTTTTAGGCTTTGGAGATGATCCAGTAGAGAAGAAAATATTACTAATAAAGAGAGAGGGGACAATTTCATGTCAGCAATTTTATCATGTATCTCCACTGAGTAAATTTTTCTTGAATGAATTGATGAAGGGATAGAAAGTGTTTTCACCAGATGCAATATATTTTTTATTGGTGCTGAATAAAAAGTGGGATAAGAAACACTTTAACATCTTTTTCAGATGATTGTGAAAATTGATCAAGTTTTAGTCTTCCTTGGTGAGATTACCAACCTTGAAGTTTACTTTTTCACTCCGGTGAGCCTGGTGTTTCTCAAGTCTTTACAAGGTCTCAAGGTGTGCTACTGTGATGGGCTTGTCAGATCTTTTACTTTGTGTTCATTTTTCCCCTTTAACCTTTTAAAAAGTTGGTACGTATTTCAAAAATTTGGTTACCTATTATGAACTATTTCCTTAAGAGGCATTGAGACACAATGTGTGTAGGAACATTAAACAAGCACCCAGATGCTCCATGTTCAGATGTTCAGTCTCTCATTAACCTGATAATTTTTAGGTAGCAGTTTCAGAACCAGTGATTTGCCATTCAGTTTGTTGCTTTAAAACTGCTCTCTCTCTTATTAGCTTCTGTATTTATTGAAACTTAATTAAAACTTTTAATTATGAAATATTTCAAGAATATGGGAGATTTCAGAAAATAATTTAACAAGATTTAACAAGTTTTAATTTTTGCCATATTTGCTTCAGATCTTTCTCTTTTGAAAAATACTACAATTTACAGGATGTAAACCAAGGAATAATGAGGGGGTTGATGGAAAGAAATAGGATTGATTGACTTGGTGAAGAGAAGGCTTAAAGTAGGATGACTGGTGTGTTCACCTATTTAGAAGTCACTAATGTGGGAAAGAGTGCATAAATTTGATGACTTAAGTACAAATAGCTCTTTTTTTAAAGTATATTTATGATCAGGAAGCAACATCCAGTAATCAGTTATTTTATGGTCTATACTTATATGGAAATTTTTAAAAGACATTGAAAAACATCATTGTTCAATCTATACAGATACCATTTTTATTAAGTCAACAGATATCATGATTTTCCTGGTATCTTCACTGTAAAAATTGTTAAGCAACAATCTTTAGAGAAATGTCTATATTATTATTTAAAAGTTTAAGGTTACATGCACTAATTTTTAAAACATTAGAGAAAGTGAATTTTAAAATTGTTTGTAATACTTTTTGAAACATGATGTTTCTTTCAGTAATTAGATTTTGAAAAGGTGAAGAGTATCATTTTCAAAACTTGTTTTTCCTCTCAATTGTAGAATATATAATTTATTGCTAAGAAAAGGGCCTAGAAAGAATATAAGAAAGAATGACAACTAACAGGCCTGATCCTTTCAAACTTTTTTTTTAGTTTAGGAAGCTGGGAGTAGCAGAGGATAAAGTCTCATAAGAAGGTGATGGTTCGTCTCAGGACAAGACACAGAAAAGACATTCTGGTGGACCTTTATTTTTCAGGGCATATTTCTGACTGATATCACAGAAAGCAAAAGAAAGCACTTGGGTTTTTTTATCAGTAGTTAAGTTTTCATAATATTGAAACAGTTCACTCATGAATGTTAAATATGGCTATGTCAATACATTTTTTTTTCAGAAATAATAAAGCATATATATTAAATGCAGTGTAGTAACATAACAGAATTTTTACTCTCTATGTATTTGGACATAGAGAGGCATTCATAATATCTAGTGTGTAGTAATTTACTTTTCTGTTTTTTATATTCGTTTACCACATAAATTCATCGGAGTCCTCATTTTAATGTTTTTCTCTACTTGAGAAAAAGGGGTAGTGAGTGTGTGCCAACTTCTTTTATATAATGTCAGTGTTAGGGCTATTTAAGAATTTCCTCTGCTATGCACAAAACAATAAGAAGTAAAGATTAAGGTCATCATACACTTTGATAATTTTTTTTTTATTCAAAGTGGATAATCCTGTTTGTTTGGGTGTAAAAATTTGAGTTAGAATTCCTAAAGGAGCTCATATTCAGGAATGTAGTGGTGCTCCATAAAGTTGTAATACAGAAGAACCAGTGTAAGGTCAGGAAAACCCTTTCTCTCTAAATAGCTAAGGCTTGAGAATCACTAGAGTTTTGGTTTGGTGAATTCAGGTTTTATTAAGGGACAGACAGACATTTTTTCGGTCTTCCAGAAGCCCATAGTTTGGGGTGGAATTAGAATTCTGCCTTTCTCAGATAACCTGGCCCAGGACCTTTTCAACTGGACTAGTGTGGAGAGAGTTAAGATAGACACTCCTAGTATGTTGTGTATCTGTTCCATGTGTTCTCTAGGAGTAATAAGTGAACTTGTTT